CATGGCATAGTTAAAGTCAATTACAACTACAGATATTATAGCACATTTACATCCTGACATAGTTAAAGTCAATTACAACTACAGCTTTTATAATTTGAATTACGGTATACATAGAAGTACGAAACAACTACGCACACTAATCAAGGCAATAATGAAGAAAGAAAACTGAAACATATCATATACTGAATATTATATACAGTATAATATACAGTATATGATATACTTTATATTATATACATTTTTTATTATCTATGATCATAAAAAAGAATGATCATTGAGTGCCATTACACAAATATTACAACTTGCTTATCAATACAGTTAATTCATTTTAAAGAAGTGAAAGCCAGTTACGCAAGGATTAACGACATTACTAATCCAGGGATTACAGTGAACAGAGATAGATTATATATTTACGCAGTGCGTGAGCAAAAACGATTGGGATTGATGACACTATTTTCCTAAATTCCATCATTTTTTGCTCCCAAACTGTGTGAATATCTATCCGTGCTCCCAAACTGTGTGAATATCTATCCATGCTCCCAAACTGTGTGAATATCTATCCGTCCACCCGTCTATCTATTTATTAACCAATTAAACTACAGACAAAATTACAATTTTTTTTTACCACAAACGCTGAATTTTTTGCCATTTATATCACTGAATTAGATTAGAACGAAAGGGAGTTGTAGCACTTTTGTGAAAATAATTAAAATGTTATAACATTCAATGTATTGATGACATTTAAATAAGCGGCAGTTATAAAGAATCATTATTTTTTATTCTGATACAATTGTATTACTTTTACACGGTTATTTTTTTTTAAACTAAACATAATTAACACAAGTAAAAGTAGATATTTTCTTTCTTATTTCGTCTGTAGATGCATTTTGGATATCCAATGGAAACAACAAACAACAGACGTGATTTCATGAAGCCAAGAACAGTGGTTATTATGTTGATTTTTTGAAGTGTTCAGTATCGATGGATATCCAATGGAAACAACAAACAACGGAAGTGATTTCATTATCGATGAATATCCAATGGAAACAACAAACAACGGAAGCGATTTCATGAAGCCAAGAACACTGGTTATTATGTGGATTTTTTGAAGTGTTGAGTATCGATGAATATCCAATGGAAACAACAAACAACGGAAGTGATCTCATGAAGCCAAGAACACTGGTTATTATGTGGATTTTTTGAAATGTTCAATATCGATGAATATCCAATAGAAACAACAAACAACGGAATTGATTTCATGAAGCCAAGAACAGTGGTTATTATGTTGATTTTTTGAAGTGTTCAGTATCGATGAAGCCAAGAACAGTGGGTATTATGTTGATTTTTTGAAGTGTTGAGTATCGATGAATATCCAATGGAAACAACAAACAACGGAAGTGATTTCATGAAGTCAAGAACACTGGTTATTATGTGGATTTTTTGAAATGTTCAAATGAAATCACTTCCGTTGTTTGTTGTTTCCATTGGATATTCATCGATACTGAACACTTCAAAAAATCAACATAATACCCACTGTTCTTGGCTTTAAGGAAGCACTGACGAATAGTGTATTATAAAGTCCTCATAAACCACTGATTCAATTGCCTTATCCATTACTTCCTAGAGGTAGTAATGATTAAGTTATAAACACAGACATACACATATTATAGACGAAGCTATAATTTTCCTGAAATTTCATAGATTAAAAACTATTGTTTTTTAATAGCTTTGACTTCTTCCTTTAAATAATTTTCTTGGATTTGTTTGTTTGTAATTAATCACAAAGCTACAAAATGGACTATCTGTGCTCTGCCCACCACGGGTATCGAAACCCGGATTCTAGCGTTGTAAGTCCGCAGACATCCCGCTGTGCCACTGGGGGGCTTTTTCTAGGATTACAAAGATACAAGCCACGTCACTGACACACACGTATATATGGATAAAAATCATTAGAATATAAGAAAGCTTATCATCTTCTTACAAACTTCTATGTATGCTTACGATATGAAAAGATATGCTAGTCTAACTCATAAATATATGACGTCAGGGTTAGTTCTTGTACACCGAACAAGCATTCACGTACATACTAGGAATTCTGCTTAGTAACTAAAACCGTCAGTCTCGGAAGCCGCGCGGTGGTGAAAGAGTTAAATTACTATTGATTCATCTCTGGCTTGTCTGAATTATCAGGTTTTAAGGATATTTTCAGTTTAATTTTCAATAATACAAACTGACACCATTCTTTGATATATTTATTCAGTAATTTACAAAAATTTAAAGTTAGTAAACTAGTCAGTACATAAAACACGAAATATTTAATTCGTAGGACAGTTAGTCTGAGAGGCATTCTTCTGAACCATTATTTGACAAAAGTCTATGCATGTGCGTGTGTGTCCGATTACCTGGCGAACCGCTGGATCGATTATCACGGACCCTAGCACGTACAATTAGACCCTCTAGGGAAGTAACATAGGGCGTTAGGGAAGTAACACAGGGCGTTAGACCTCAATTCCTATATTTTGAACATTAAAAACGAACAGTCTATTTCGTAAATAACGTTTTTTTTCGAAGTAGGAAGCACATTCGGAATTAGTTTGTTTGTTTCTTGTTAAACACAAAGTTATACAATGGGCTATCTATTTTGTTTCTTGTTAAACACAAAGTTATACAATGGGCTATCTA